CAGATTGAAATGACTGTCGCCACACAAAACTTCCACACAGAGCAGCTTTTTAAGGGTTTAATTTATCATCTAATATTTAGACCGGTAACAGGCAGCAATATAAATACTTCCACACTAAAGTTTATTCATTCAAATTGTGTGCATTTTTTATTATATATGAAAGGTTTAAAATTTAATTTAAGGAAAAAATCAGAATGGTCAAAGTTTCCTTTTGAATGTAAGATTTGATGTTAGATTTTAAGATATCATTTCACAACATAATCAAGTATTTTCTGATATTAGCGCTGAAATAGTTGACACTTTAATCCCTGATTGTACATTTGATTCATTATGTAAATACAAATAACCAAATAGCTATTTGAATATGTCATCGTTGGCTTTGGGAAATTGTTAATGATATTTCATTTGTTCCTAAAACTATTGTTTTTCAGTAATATGCATAGCTTTTACCTCTATTTGCTTCTTGTTAAGCTGCTATCAGCAGTCCCTTTTCTGACTCTTTGAAAATGTTAGTGATTATCCCTCGTGGATAGTTTCCAAAAACAAAAATGTTTTTTATTCATTTAAAGATGAGTGATAAAGCTAAATCCTGTACTCTTCCATATTGTTTGTTTGACACATTTTAAGGCGCTGCACCTGACTTGACCAACTGCCAGCTGCATAACTCAACCTCCCTCTACCTGGGAAACAAAGGGGGTGATGCCCACACTTCCAAGAAAAATCCAGAGGACGACTTACAGAGGAGGGAGCTCCGCTTAATGAAGAACAGGTAGAGGGTGCATTGCATTTACCAACAGATACCATTAATCTATACCGATTTGGACGTAAAAATACTGTTAAGTTTAAATTAAGACTAGGTGCAGCTATTTATCAACACATGCTAAACATGAAAAGTAATTCAGTATATAATGAAAAAATCAGTCATAGTTTTACTGATCTTGAAACTCAATGTGAACACAAACTTCTTTTAACTCATCATTAAATTCTACCGGCATTTGGATTAGCAGAACATTTTTTGAACTTCAGAATCCAACAGATTATCCTGAAAATGTGAATGATTGAGATTACACCAGAATATCAGAAAAGGTATTGTTACATTATGAAAGATTGCGAGAATGTCTGAATCCTCTTTAAATTTTAAAAACAGGGATGAGTTAAGCACTATATCATTCAACACCCTTGGCGATTGTCTCTGTTTGTTGAGCCTCCATACAAACAACTAAATGACAATGGATAAGATGAAGACATGTAATGATTAGTTTCAGAATGTCATCATTCCACCACATGATTGCCCTCCATCCAGGGTGTTTACCTGGTAATTCTTAGGTCATCTGCTCTATCTATGTTTGAAGCAAAGTGAGTCAGTTCACATGACCAAATGTCAGTACTTTGTGTCCAAGGATATGTGAATAGGTCTTCTTCTCTGGGGAGGAAATTGATTAAGTCCTTAAGATTCTAACGTTCTGTGTTGCATATTTCAGGACAAATCTGAAGTTTTCATCAGCCCCACTTGCAACATGTTATACTAGTGGAAAGATAAAGTTCCTGAGATTCCATGTCCAAAACAAATCATAATTGTGGAGACAGTAAAGACTGATGTCAAAGCAGTCGCAAATAAAAAGCAACATCTGACTTACCTATAACATTTCACAGTATTCCAAAAACAACTACAACCCCATAATGTTACATCGGCAAGATTCCAGTTAATGTACTCCAGAAAATTGTTCGTCTTCTTGGGTTTAATCCAAATGTCAATCCCGACCGTCAAAGTGGAGTTAATGTTAGAGCTATCAATTGAGAGTTAAAGTAATTTTAATCATCGCTTTCATCCAAACATTCTGACTCCACATGAAAAAGCTTTTGTTATTTGTTGCCAGAATAACCTCTCTGTTGAATCTAGGAGGGAAGCCAATACAAGATTCAAAGGCATTAACAACTGTTGTTGCTTTCAGGGAAGCTGCACGGGAGTGTCGGCGAAAGAAGAAGGAATACGTCAGATGCCTTGAAAATCGTGTGGCTGTGCTGGAAAATCAAAACAAGACTCTAATAGAGGAACTTAAAGCATTAAAAGACATATATCGACACAAAGTGGAGTGATTCCTCCCATCGGACGAGGAACTGGTTTATGTGAGACGTGTCCTTCGAAATTGAGGACTCTGCTTCTGTATAAAGACACTTATAATAACACTCCTTGCTCTTCTTGTTTAATGTGTTTACGAAATGATGTTAATGTTTCAGGCTCTTTTTATTCAATAAGCAACAAACACACAGCTACAACTGCGTAATATGAGGAGCTTTGTGCAAGCAAACTTTCAGAAGAGGCATGAAAAGAAGAAAGGAATAAGGAAAATGTTTTCCTCATTAGAAATGAAGATTCTGATGTTGAGCTGCAGTAAAACAATCTGTACTTATTTATACTGCATTTTACATTTCATGATAATTCTTTTTACAATTTGGCTAACTTGAATTCCTTTATTGATTGATTGATATGAAGAGTTTTACGATTTTTAAACGGTATCATAAACTAAGTTATTGATCAGTGGGGAAGCACAAAGTTATATTTCATTCTATGTCATAGCAAAATTATAGTTGCAGGGACAATCTTTTATATCAAACTAAAAGACAGACCAGGATTTGTGGGTCACCCCTTTGAGAAATCACTATTTATTACAGCCTAGCGATCAAAATAGAAACTGCATGGATTTGTGTATATTTATTTAGTTAAATATTAACTTCATGTTTTTATCCACCTTGATCCAATTTGGTGTTTTCTGGTGAATTTGGTAAATTGAATAAGTGTACATCTTTCTAAATCCAGCTTTGGAACTCTATGTCAGGTTTTTATCTTACTCCTCTGAAGTCAATGTCCTTGTATTAACTGACTTAATTCAGAGTTTCTAAACTTCTTGGTTTAATTAAGTTCATGTAGAATCTCTATGTATTGTTTTCATAGATAACAAAGGTGAGGAACTTAGGCTTTATGTTGTGTACAGTGCTCAGGCTTGACAACTCCAATTGTAAAATATGTTTCAGGAAGTGAATTTAACTGCCATTAGATGTAAAATCAATAGTGTTTACTATTATCACCATTTATATATCCGCTCTGGGTATTTGCAGTACACAGTCTTCTTTTTTAAGCCTACAAAAGCTTCTCCTTGTGAGGACTATCTCTGATTATTAAAGCAATTTCTTCTTTTGCTGATCTTTTTTTTGCTTTTGTGGAGTACAATAAAATATTGTGATAGAGCTACAATGTTTTTAAGGTAATTAAAAAATATCAGAACCAGTGTTGCTGTGCCCATATGGGATGAAGATGAGCATTTTCTCACTTTGTAAGCGTCGCAATTCTTTCATTCTGACCTCAAGTGACCAAACCTAATTTTTACAAAAATAATGATGGAAAAACGCACATGTTTTTTTTAAGCATTATCCTTTTGCTGTAATGATTCTGTCTCATTTCCATGTGCAGTTTGCTGGAGTAACATGAAAACATGAACAAATATGACTGGTCTGTACTTTGTGCATGAAACCACTGGGAACGTTTTACGATAGAGCAAACTGGCGTTTCTCCACCGTGGAAAAACAAAAATAAAACAGCTAACTGAAGACCACACGAATAATACCCAAAGTATAGTGTCACCCTACAAACTTGCAATGCATCTGCCAGAGCAGCAGGAGGCACCATAATACAAGATCTGATTACAAGAACCATCCCAACCACGGAAAAAAGACATGTCTTCCGTAGGTTACTCCAACAATACTCCAACAGTGATGGTTAAACAGACATTTTATTTAATCACAGGATAATCACAATTCTAATGGACAGTACAGTATTTAGTCGTGACGAAATGATTTATTGACTTGAACAAGTGTTATGACAGTGCCCACGTTTAAAAACTCAGTAGATCAGAATCATTAATGTAGGCGATTTCAGCCAGATATTTAAGCCAGAAAATGGTCTAATTATATTTTATGTTATTCTACTTGATTAATTAAATACGCTCCTGGAGAATATCATTCAAATGTAATTATTATACAGTTGTAACCGCCCACTTGAACCGGAACCGTTTCCATTGCAGCCACAATGTTGATATGTTCATGTATTCGTGAAAACCATGTATTTTTTTTCTTTCTTTTTTCAACATCTTACAACAGAAATTGTGACATAGAAATCAATCGTGACTAAAATTATACTAGTAAAAGTGCAATCTATTAGGGCCATTTTATCATATAGTAAATATTTGGTAAATTGGTCAGTCAAATAACAAAGTGGAGCTGAATTGAATTTTGGCTCCGATTTTAAATAACATTTAGAGGTAATAAACATGCTCTCAGAGTATAGCTTTCATTTCAAGACTTTCTAAAGAGCTATTTTTAAGGCTTTTATTTGCGAGGTCCGAGCCTTAAAACTTAAAAGTCGACTGCCTGAAAGCCCGACTTTTTGCAAGGGACCTAAAAGCAACACTATAGCGGATGTAGCAAAAGCAGCAATCTACAGTATTCTGGCAACCATGTAGCAGTGAACGCTAAAATATTTCTGCTCCATCTTGCTCAGTTACGATATCCCCACGTTCAGTCGCGTTAACACGATATCTGAGACCATGAAAATGTTTTCGTGAAGATAACTGGACTGTCGGTCAGGAACTACGAGACGAAGGAGTCGACAGTGGATAGGAATCCCGTTCAAAGACTTCCTAATCTCGTTTGGAGGTTTGGAAGGGGCTACTCTACAAATGTATCTTCTTGTCTTGTTTTTTTGTTTTGAATTTTTTAATCAACTGGAATGGTCTCGCATGCCCTGCTGAGTGTGCTTGACTTGCCAGAGTAGGGCGTGTAACCCCAGCGGATGCCGGGGGCCAGTTTGTAGTTTGCGCCAGGTTTGTATCTGCGTTACCGCCCCGTTTTTTCTCCCTTGGAGAACCACTTTTTTTTTTTTTTAAAAAGGGGACAGAAAATACAGCGCGCGAGCGAGGACTGTCACCAAAAAATCTGTGTGAAAAATGGGGAATACGACCTCCTGCTGTGTGTCGTCGAGTCCAAAACACCGGAGGAACAACCACTCCAGGCTGGAGCCCTATCGGCCGGAGCCGGAGCTGAGTCGTGAGGACACGGGCTGCAACCTCCAGCACATCAGCGACAGGGAAAATATAGATGGTAAGATTCTGACAATTGTGTCATTTCCATCTGACAGTACAGGGAAAAATACAGTTTTTTCCCAGTACGTTATACTCTGCAAAAGGGAAATACCCTCTTTGCACATTAAGAATCGAAGAATATGGATTTTAACAAGATTAAGCTTGCAGCATATATGCAAACACACCCAACTGTTTGCATCTGTAGACTTTTTTTTATTTCTATATACAGTGGGGGAAATAAGGATTTGACCCCTTGCTGATTTTGCAGGTTTGCCCACTTACAATGAATGCTTATTTTTCCTCATCAGATGGTTATCAATTTTTTATAAATTCATATGATGTGATTTTCTGGAATTTTCTTTGGGATTCTGTCTTTCACTGTTAGAATGCACATATGATTAAAGTTATAGATCGTTGCATTCTTTGTAAGTGGGCAAACCTGCAAAATCAGCAAGGGGTCAAATACTTATTTCCCCCACTGTATGTCCCCATTTATCTATGGCACCAAACTTTTGTCATTTTCACCTGGCGTGTGTGATGTGAAGGAAAGCCTGGGGTTGAAAAAGCTCTTTGAGGATTAGTTAGTGTTCCAGTGAAAGGGGATGTATGTGATAATGATGTACAGTCCTTATGGTAGGTTGAACATGCACTTCCCATTGCGAGCCGAGAAATTAACACCACAATGCCCGTACTTTGTTCTACATTCATCCATCTGTGCTGGATTAATTGACCCAAATCAATTAATATGTTAGTGAACCCCCCTCTAGCTTTGCATTACCGGTGACATAACATGCTCTGGTTTATTAAAATACAGAGAACACTGTGAAAATATTACATATTTTATCAGAGTTTGATCTTTGATTCATTCATCCTCTATACAACTTATTCCTTGCAGGGTCAAGGGGGGTCAGAGTCTAACCAAACCCAGCTGACGTTGGGAGAGAGGCTCAGAGTATGATGTGGGGGGGAAAACATCTGTGCGAGTATCCTTCCTCCTAAATGCCAAATAAGTAGGAACCCCTTTGATTAGTGAGGATGCACAAGGCAGGGGGAGTAAAGGCAGGAAAGGAAGTCATCTCAGCATGCCACAGCACTGGGGAAATGGCACACCAGAAAATATGAAACATCAGGAGCCAGCTCTAATGTTTACTGGGAGGAAAAAATGTACACAGCATGTAGATCGTCATCACATCATTTCAATCTTCAAAACTAGTCCAGATTTGGGCTTTTATCATGGTGTGCAGAGCACAGGGGGATAAAAATAGCTCCTCCAGCCATTGGTTGTTCAAAGTCAGCAAACAGCTGGTCAAAAATGCTTTTTGGACCTGTGTCTGCCTCAGTTTCTTTGCTATCTCTTGGGCTCTCTTGAGTTAGTTATCAAGTAGTCCTCAGCCTCTGAAGTGGGCCTCCTTCAGCAGCTTTGTTAATAATGCAGCAGACATTGAACGGGTCCGATGAGCTTTGATGTCTGTGATTTTTAATAAGCAGTTGGACATTTACATCTTATGATCTGGAGTTATCTAAACAGCACGAATATATTTAAATTCATGCTCTCCCCTGTTGTTGATGATCCTTTTCTATCTATGTTTTGGTTGTAATGGGTTGAAAAGAAAAAGGAATAAAAAGTAATTTCTTCACTTTCTAGCTCCTCTGAGTATTTTAAACGATTTTCGGTCCAGACAAGATGGATTATTAATACAAATGAATTTGCAATTAGGTTAAATGTTAAATTGAAAAGTGTGGTGTTTCTATGTAATACATTCTTATGAATTAGGAAATGTTGATTAAAAAGCTGCAATTTAGGATGTTTTCCCAGATATTTTCAAAGGTTTTCTTCCTATATTTTTTAAGTCTTATCTCATTCTAAATATTGTCCAAGGCCCATAGGTCCTTTGGTGATGAATCTGAGCAATGCTGAAACCCACATCACAAAACAGACTCGGTACAAGGCTGGTGTTTGTGGGTAAAAGCAAAGTTGGACTTTGATCAAGTTTACTTGCCGGTATCTACGTTTTTGAGGGTGTTTTTGAGGTTGCCTATATAAGAAAACCTTATCAATGCAGCCTCAATTATGATTGTAGAGAAATTTATCTTCATGTAGCATAAAACAGTGATACATGTTTAGAATGATCCTGGTAAAGCCCGCCGCTCAGGTTGTCGCAGAAAAAGAATGCCTCAAAGATCCATCAGTAACATTAAGAAAGCTTGTCATTACCTGTAAGAACGGTTTGTTCTATTTCATAACAATTATAATCCATCCATCCATCCATTATCACTTCCGCTTATTCCCTGATGGGGTCACGGGGAGAACTGGAGCCTATCCCAGTTGTCAACGGGCGAGAGGCGGGGTACAACCTGGACAGTTCGCCAGTCCATCGCAGGGCCAACAATTACAATGATAATTATTATTATTGAAGATATAGTTATGGTTAAGTTTGGCGTGGCTGGTATGGAGAAAAAATCTTGATTTTAACAATAATCTGACGGTATCCTTTTTCTTTCTTTCCGTTTTCTTTTAATTAAGCTAAAAAATGCTGTAATACCCTGCTTGCTTACCAGTACATCTGTGGATAGACACAGTGTTTCAAAACAATTGCTGTTGTTTATTTTTTAAAGTGCTTCAAACATCTTCACATCATGCACAAACATATCTCATACCCTGCTGCAAAACAAACAATATTCTACAATATTCAACAACATCCTATGGTCATAAGTGACAGGCTCAAGGTATATCTAGGCTGTACATAAATCACAGGTGAATATCCCAAATTCCTTGTGTGCTCACAAGGGTTTTTAGTACGCAACAAATAAAAAGTAAGTTTAACTTTAAGTTAAGACATCAAAATGTAAGCCAAGTGAAATATTTGAAATCGAACAGACAAACAGTACAATTTATTTGATCTGGCACACAAATTTGGCAAGAACTCTGCAGAAAAGTTATTTTGACCAGCATCAAACTTGTCAAAACTGAGGCATGTCAAAGCTTTTGATGTGGAACCATGGTTCGGTATTAAATCATCCGCTTAGACAGAATACTGCTTATTGTCTTCAGAAGACAGTGAATTCTCCATAATGTAAAATTGCACATCTTCAAAGGTAGGATAATGACTCCTTAAGGTGATTATGAAAAACCATGTGGAAAAGAATTGTCACGTTCACAGAAAACTCAAGAACAATTTTGTCATCTGTACAGTTGAGTAATCTACCCTCAGTTTGATTAATAACTCGTTAGCCTTATTGCCCATAGCGTGTCCTGCCCTGCTGTGCGAATTTGGTTGGACCTACTTGACAGTTGTCTGCATGTAATTCATCCATTAAGTGACTGATTAGGATATGAACCAATCACAGCATCTTAATTGTTACCACAAAGGTGGTGAGCTATCCTGATCCAGTGCTTTTCTATCTACTACTAGTATTAGTACTATTACTAGTAGTACTATTTCTACTATTATCTGCCACAATCAACGTCCATTATCATTACTTCTGTGATCATAAAGGCTTTTAATGCCTAATACCGAAACACCGTGATTTAGATGGTCTATAGGTGCCGCAATGTCCTTCATTGTTATGTCGTGCTTGTTGCTTATTAGTGAGGTCACACATTAGTTGGCCCATCTTTCTGCTTGACCAAAATTCATAAAGGGAAACAACTTAAACCGTGTAGAGCCGTGCCAGGCCAAACTGCGTAGGGCTGAATGGATATTAAAGGAGAAGCACCAATAGTTCTGTTGTCTCTAAAAATAAATAAGTGAAATCATAGAAAAGGGGTTATTCACTAGTGAGATTTCCTTAAGTTAGGAACTTTTGATCCTACTGATTGAGCTAGAAAGTTTTCTCTTTCCAACTAAATGGGGGAGGCAATGAAATTTGTATCAAAGGGACAGCAAGTGTCCTACAGAAAAGTCTTACTAGATCAGACTAAAATATTTCACAAAACCTTAATTTTGAAATTAGTTGTTGGGAAAATATAGTTTTAAAATAAGTTGATTATGTATAGTTATTTATTATGTATTAGTCTTCTTTTTGCTATAATTGTTAGACATTTTCCAATGACTCAAATTAACCATTTTTATTTTCAGGTCCAAGTTAAATGTTTTTTTTTTTCCAAAATCCTTAACATCCCTTTTTAATTTCTATTTTGATTTTGTTTATTTTCTGCGTCTCTCTGAGATATATTTATCTATTGTCCTTGTTTTTGTCCTCTATTTTTTGTTTTCTTTAACCAAAAACATATTTTTAAATGAACATGCTCAAAAACAGCTGGAAAACCCAGATTGAGGCTTAGAGTCCATAAACAGGCCTCATACCATGGCGTCACAATGAGTTTTCTCACCTTGATCGTAAAGATGCAAATATTATATAATCTGTATATTTACAGATATACAATCTGTATATTTGAGATTTTGTGAAGTCCCTCTTCTGTTTGATTTGATTTGGTTTTAGAACAAGTGACATATATTTCTTGCCTTCTCTGCCACGCTCTGTGCTGTTTCGGTATCCGTGTGACTCGGGCTGCAATGAGCTTGTGATTACGAAAAAGATCAGCCGCAAGAACTGCTGACAGTGCTGACGACATGCACGTGCGCTTCAATGTGTGCACAAACAAAGCGTGCACAGTCCTGACCGAGAAACTTCCTCATCAGTGCACGCCGTCTTCTTGGTGATCTCGTTCACAAATCAGTGTTGCTGCCAGGTTTATTGGAGCGATCCTTGCTGTCTGTTGTCAGTAGAACCTTCCCTGGAGACCGTTCAGAGATGAAGAAGTGAGAGATTCATGTTTCTCCAGACAATTAATGTCACTTCATGTCTATTCATGTAGGGGCTAACATTTGACAAAGATTGTTTTTTACATTGCATCCAGCAATGTGCATATGAACAACTTTTTAAATCTACTTTCGTAGATAACTAGGCAAAAAGGGCTATTTAAGGTTCATGCTTGAAGCTCAAAAGTCAGGTAATCGGTTTCTAAATACATCGGCCATGAAATACATCTTCTCTGTAACTCTTTACAGTCTAAAT